GTATACATACAGACCAGGCGCCAAAGTTAGCACGCGGCACGGGCGCTGTGCTCTTACGTGATCCCCACGCACTTGGCATTATGTGTATGAAACGCGAGGATTTAGGTAGGCCTATTTAATGCCTGTTTATGTTTTTAATATATAAAAATAAACATTATTGCTTAACATTTTTGTATCGCGTGGAAATTATGGTTGGAATGAATCCGGAGAAAGCTCTTGTGGTGATTAAGACCTCATTTTCAATATTTGGAAAGCAGTTCGTCGTGTAACAATGACATACCTAGGCCTAATTATACCGGTCAACAAGCTTTAAACAAACACGCTGTTATGTTCTGATAATACATTTGCACCGCTTATTAGTACGTCATAATGGATTGTGATATTAATACACTGGACAGTGGCTAATCCATGATTTCGAAATTGGGGAGAGCGGGGGGTGGGAGGTGGTAGGGAGGAATTTTGGCAGATAGGGGTCCATTCCCCTTAGCCCCACCATGGTTTGTTGATCAAATTATGATCATTGGTACCTCCAGATGGCCGGAGATGGCACTCAGACTTAAATTGGAACATAATTTTCCATTTTTTCTCTATTTCTTTTTTATAATTTTGAAAAATTCTGGGAAGGGAGCCGTCCACAATGTAGCACGCCATATTTACGTTTTTGGTTTTTTTTTTTCATTAGCTAAATTACATGTTGTTAACTAAGTGCTTGTAGATAAAAGATATCTCAAGCATTGAACGGATTAAAGTAGGGCCTAATAGTATTTTATTTTTGTAGGCCTAGTCCAACAACAGTTACGTAATACATATTACATCATTCTTTGAGACAATATAGTCTAGTTTTGTCCGTTATTCTGAAAGAAATTGATATTTATACAGGTATGGTTGTTACTGGTAGAATGATAGGAATAAGTGTACTGTTTTTAGTTTGACTACCCATGGAAAGCCGTGGTCCAAATATAAATTTTGTTAATCCGCCAAACTTTTAGCTTAAACCAACCATATACTATAGGATCAAACAGGACAGATGACCCTCGCCTCGATTCGAGAACAGACAGCGTTGCAAAGAGTAAAAGTAGTGAGTAAACTCGTTCTGATGATTGAAGCAGTGTTATCAAAGAAATATAGTAGACGTACAAAAAGAGACGTAGGTCTAGAACTTTGTAATATAACTACTTTTTTTTTTTACAATATCTCTGTTTTCTTTACAAAAAAGCTCGCTTTGATGTTTATACCCAAAGGATACCCTCAACATTGTAGCAATTTTCATATTTTAGATATTATTTCAGTAACTCTCTCTCGTACAACATTAATATTAATTGAGATGATTACAGCACTGTTTGGCCGGACCTCCTGTATAGGCCTACTCATGCTCTCGAAATAAGTAGGCTAGTGTCATAGATCAGTAATTTTGCATCACTTATTTTTAAAATTCATTAAATTAGTTTTATAGTCCTAGAGATGAAGAATATAGCTCTTTAAAGATTATTACTAAAAACGACAATCTTGGATTTTACTAGAAATATTGTCTAAATAATAATTATTATTTATATAATTTAAGATATAGTAATGGGTTGCTTCATATAATTATTCCGTTATATTAAGTTCTTTTCTGCATCCACCAACGGTCAGCCGATAAGATTCCATCATAGAAACTGCAAAGGAGCGAGTGCGACTGATCGTTTTCAACGACGACCGCTCAAACTACTAGGCTTTGTCAGCAGCGGCATCGCGCGTCGCCAAACGCTGCACAGAGCAGAGATGGATTTGTCGGCCAGTGCGCGGCTACGCAATAATATGCCTGGATTAGAAATCGGCCCTACATTTGAAATGTATGGCAGCGATGTCGATATGTTGTCCGACTCCCCAGCAATGACTGCAAGAGGTCTACGTAGAGAACATACATCATATTCTAGGTCGTCGTCTTATAACGGATTTTATTCTGTCAGAATTGTAAATAGCTGAAGTCTACTGAATATTGACTGATAATTGACAAAGGTATATCATTTAAAAATACTGGCAATATATTAATAGACGGATGCAATAAGCTACAGTGAAAAACGGATCAATAGAGAGGCAGTAGATATATATTGTTGCCAATAAAGCAAACAATTGGAAAACGGGCAAATAGACAGATGGGAAGTGTGCCATGAATGACATATATTTTTTGATAATTGTAGAATGATGCATTCAATATTCATGAAACAATACATTAATAATTGAATACGTAATCGGTTTATCAAATTTTGTGATGCACTGTATGTTGATTGCTCATGCTTGCTTGATTGATTGATTGGTATATTGATTGAATGATTGATTCTTTATTGATTGGTCAGTTGATTGAGTGATTGATTATTGACGGACTGATTGATTGGTTGATTGATTGATTGATTGATTGATTGATCGATTGATTGATTTATTGATTGATGCTGTGCGTGAATTTACTTTACAGCTGTTTCATATAGTAGCAGTCTTCAGGAGTGAGTGAATAGGAAGACAATGGAGGTATATATAAGTTCAGCAGGTGTATATGTTATTTATGTTACGTATTCTTGAGTAGGAATTTGTTTCTGTGTCTGTATATTGAAAGCAGCTCAGTTACGCATTCGCATTGAGCACTATACGTCACTGATCTTGACAACTATATTTTGTATTATTGTATTATAAATATATATACTGTATATATATAATATATATATATATATATATATGTATCATATTGATTGGTTAATGAACTGCGTGATTAAATAAAATAACTTATTCAAAGCAAGTACATTGACATCAACGATTGAATACAACCAGAGAGTAACGCATGCCCTTAAGAAAAACTCTATACAGCATTCAATTGTGTAATTGAAACTCTATTCCAATTAATCTCAATAATTAAACTAATTAAAGCGCTTGGTTGTATGTACGGCTGTTTAAATTGTGCATAATTAAGATGGAAGGTTTATTTCCTGCATTCAATCCAGGTATTTGGATTTGCTAATCCGATTCGGGACCAGGACTTACCATGCTCTTTCTCAATTAATCGTCTGTCTACCTTTGCCATTACAATTGACGTTCGTACCCCCTGCCCAATAAATGCCACTTGTTTTTTGCCAAAGTGCGTTGCAAGCCATATTAGCGACAGGTGACTCCCCATGTCTATTAGTAATATTATATTAGTAATATAAATGGTACAACAAATAGTCACATCTCGTATTCACCTGAAATCCAGTTTTCTGTACACATACATGCCTAGCAGCAGAAATAAATTAAGATTAAGAGATCATACTGTACACACCAACACGTATATAGGCCTGGAGTACATTATACCTCAAACCTACACATTTTAGTTTAAACCAACACAAAGGAATAGTTTAATTAGTATATAATTCATTTCAATATTGACTTTATAAATTAATACCTTTAGTGGTACTACATATCAAACTCATTAAAGTTTTAAAATGTCTTCTTTCCATTTGCAATATATTTACCATTGAATGTGTTTTGTAATTTATGCTCTTATAGCATTGTTGTTGGATAAAGAAAGAATTGAATTGATAAGTCATTGATGCGTTGTATGCTACAATCAAATTCAATTTGACTTAAGGTGTAGCCTTTTGATAATTAGTCGATATGCTCTTTAATATTATTCTTTTCAATTTCGGTATATCTGTTATCACTACGTTATAAATATTATTATTACAGTCTATTGACAATGTCAATCAAGATAGATAGAATTAGAGGCTTTAATCGAATTTGAATTCCCAACAAAGCCTCAATGGGCTAGTTGATTAAGGCAGAAGGTCCCGGTTTTAATATCGGTTGGGGCACCTATTTTTTATTCCCATATTGTTTCCTTAAATATATAAATTACAAGATAATACTTTTCATAACCAAAAAAAAGTACCACCACTAAAAGGTTCAACACCAATGACGTAATTACTGCTGCAAAATTCCTCCAATTGTTTTATTCTTCATGTTTTGTCCTTCCTTAGTGTGATTTTATATACATATGATATTTTAAATATTCTTAATCCTTCGTAAATACACTCATTTCAGCCTTTGCCTGCGTGTATTTTTATATTATACCTGTATAAATAAATAGCTATTTGATCCAGTGCCTGTTGCAAGTGCAT